ATATTTTTTAGCCTAATTTCATTGTAAATGATGCAAATAATAAATTTCTAGAATATGAAGAAATAGTAAACCTTCTGTGATGTTCAAAAGTCTGCCCTTCTGAAACCATCCTTATAAATCTATACAAACATTTTTCATTTTAAATTCCATTTTTGTCCGAATTTGAGTAAAAAATTAAAAACTACGCGGTGAAAGTTATTAATTTCATCTATTCAAACATGACCCAAGTTGTTATTTTCGAATTCTTTGACAAAAGTTTGCTTGTATCATCTGTCCTTAAGTGACATGTGTTTCCAATGTATATCTAACTCATTATTGCAAAGATTTTATAACATGTTATTGTACGTTTTGGGACAATATAAAGCGCACATTTATAATGCACATACACCTGTATATACTTATACTTACCTTGCTAGGAGTAGGATTTTTACATGATATAGGGTTATTGAACATTATATTGGTGAATATTGTCTCAAGTTGGCTGTACAAATGCACGAGCTTGCGAGCCCCGATTTACCAGCTGGAAGTTGCATACACGTATATGCTATGGTTTCTTACCCCTTGACCTTGACCCTCACGATTGACATTTAAAAAAAATCAACTTTAATGATAATTTCTAAATAAATGATATAGGGTGTTCATATTAAACACAATATGTCATAAAAAAAATAACATCTCACCCACAAAGACACCGAAAGCGGAGGACCACAATTCTTTGAATTTGCTTGTCTGCACAAGTATTTATCTGCTCGGAATTATCTTGTCACAGGTAATGCACATGTCATATATGAAAGCTCTGTCTCTTCTCAATATAAGGAACAAGATGTGTTTGTGAAACACTGACGACCCCGAATGGCAAGATTAAGAAGATTGAATTTTTTTAATGCAAAATAAATATATACATGTATATATAATTACCCAAAGAAGGGTTTTTCTCACAAGAAATATGATTGTAAAATACAAAATCCCTAGCACCACCTGTTCAAAAGTCATAGTCGAGGATATATTTTTGAAAGGTAGTTTAAACTCCAACGTAAAAGGGTCTGAATTGTTGGTTTCTTAAGAAAGGTCTTGTCACAAATAATGCATATGTGAAGGATGAAAACCCTAATCCTAACCGTTAAAAAGTTAAAAATTATGGCCAAAGTTAAAGTTTTTAAAAGTAGGTCAACTCCAAGGTCAAGATCAAAGGGTGAAAGTTGTTGGTATCCAGTGAAAGGTCTTCTCACAAGGATTACATATGTGAAGTATGAAAGCCCTAGCCCTTACCGTTCAAAAGTTATGACCATTAAGGTTAAAGTTTTTTTCATAAGAACGTGAATCTCCAAAGTCAAGGTCAAAAGGTCAAAGTTGTTGGTATCTAATAAAAGGTCTTGCTACAAAGACGCCATATATGAAATATGAAAGTCCTAGTATCTACCGTTCAAAAATTGTGACCAATGTTAAAGTTTTTAAAAAGTAGTTAAAACTCCAAGATCAAGGTCAAAGGGTAAAAGTTCTTGGTATCCAATGAAAGGTCTTCTCACAAGAATTGCATATGTGAAGTACGAAATCCTTAGTCCTTACCGTTCAAAAGTTATGGTCAAGGTAAAGTTTTTTCATAAGTACGTAAATCTCCAAGGTCAAGGTCAAAAAGTCAAGGTTGTTGGTATCCAATAAAAGGTCTTGCCACAAAAAAATATATTTGTGAAATATGAAAGTCCTAGTACCTACCATTCAAAAGTTATGGCCAAAGTAAAAAGTTTGGAATGTTTGTGTAAATGTGGGTCAAACTCCAAGGTCAAGGTAAAAAGGTCAAATTTGGTGGCACCCAAAGAAAGGTCTTGTCATAAGAAATACACAAGTGAAATATGAAAGTCATAGCTCCACCAAATCAAAAGTTATGGGCAAGGTTAAAGTTTTTGTGACGGACAGAAGAATGAGATTTAATAGCCATTCTCTGTAACCACTTAAACTTTGTTGCCACGCATGGTCACCGATTTTGATGAAACTTCACTCATGCTTAGTACTTGACACCAGAAACAAATATCAAACAAAATTTCGTTGCTATGTGTCTCGGTTGCTATGGCAACAGCCGGAAAAGTTTGAAAAATCGAGATTTTCAGCTACTTTAAATCTTGACTGTGGCTTAATAAAAACTAGAAAAAGCAAACAAACCATTCTCACAAAAACATGACACCTTGATGTCTCTTATACTGTAAAGAAACTGTTTAGAATATATCTCTAAGTAAGTGGTAACCAAGGGTACATTTGGAATACGTTTAAAATGGTGAAATATGCTGAAAAACACTCCGTATTCACTAATGGTAGGTGTTACATGCTCAAACTCAATCAAAGACTTTAGAAAAACAATGAAAATGTTTGACCTTAAGTATATAAGTATAAGCAATATTATTCTATAAATAACTTTTATGGTTGCCATGGTAACACAGCGTAACCATGCAAAACAAGTAACTAAGATTGGGTTAATGCTACTGACTTGAGGAAATACATGAAAATTCAAGACTGGCAAATATGCATCCTTAGGACCTTGCAACACCAAAACCACAAGAAATATTGTGTATAATTGCTACTTTGCAGTGTTACCATGGAAACAAAGTACCAGTGCTTAAAAGTGAATTATTTTTCGCTGCATTAAGAATTAAATTGCCATTTAATCAAGAAACAAATTAAAGGACTCAGCTTGAATAGTTCTTATCTGTTAGAACTGAAGTTGAATATCACATATTGATAAAATTTGATGAATAAAACAACACTGTTGCTATGGTTACCACGAAGGGAAAATGTTCGATTTTGTGAACTTTATATCAATATTAAACCCTGTGTGCCAACTTCTTGCATCCACTTAGAGATTGGATGATAGTCAAAATTAAAAGTCAAGTTAGCTGTTAATAAATATCAATCATAAAAGTTTTGGGAATCTACATTTAAGGGTACGTATCCAAGGAAAGTAAATATTTTTCAGGTTTTTAAGCATATATTTTCTGCTTATTTCCATAGCAACGCTCTATTTAAAGAATCTAATCTGAATTTTTTCAAATGGGAAAACTTAGAGCACACCAACATCTTGTAAAATTGATCATTAGTTATGAGGAAATGTGCTTTTCTAAAAGATAAGATCAGATTTAAACATACAGAATGTTACTTTGAAGGCTCTCTGTGGTATAAAAACCTTGGCAACCATTGCCAACCAAAATGAAATATCATATTCTGTTCTTGGTATATGTTTCAAGGCTCTTTTTTCTATTATTTGGTCACATTTCATCCTATAATTGCTTTTTATTTTTACGTGTAAGACTTTATAAAATTCAATGAATATTTTTTTTAACTTTTGAATACTTTGTTACCATAGTAACGTATGTAATAGTTGATTTACCAAACATGTTTATCATGCATTTGAGACATCTGGCCTTCAGCTTTTGGAAACAGTCATTACCAATTGTTTGCTTTGCCGCAAATGTTAACTATGGGACTCTAAACATGTTAAGAAATGCCATTTTTCGAACTTTACGGCATGTTGCCATGGTAACTATAAAACATAGCAACCAATTTTTGCCTGATTTCAGTTTAGAGTATCAATGACTTTTATCATAGAGAGTTTGGAGAAATTCTGAGACTATGCGTGCCACAGCTCCTATATAAAATTTCAAATCATTACAGAGAATGGCTCTTAATGTCACCTCGCTTTCGCGGAAATAGGCCTAATATGACTGTGCAATGCAATGCAATGCAATGGCGACGCAGAATCTTTCGAAATATTTGCGGAAATATACCTGAAAATGTTTAGCTTTTTAAACTGTTAGTGTTAGGGTGACATTACATAGAAATCAGGATTTTTATTTGCTTTATGGCGAAAAATATCCGTAAGTTGAGAAAACGGACAAAGAACGTACCTCGACCCCCTTTCTCTCGCTTCGGAAGCATACACCCCGCGCACAACATAGTATACACCCCGCATGTTTGGATACACACGGTGTTATATGTATAAAAGATTAGCAATTTTGCGGCAAAGAATGAGGGCGCTTTTGATTGGCTTTCGGCAGGAATTCTATCGACATGTCAGATGAAATTTTAACATTCTCTTTATTTATCGGGTTCTTGTGCAACAGGAAAGGAAAATATTTTCCCAAAATTGAGCTTTGATTTACTAAAAAATAACTTGAAAATTGTCCAGATCAGACATTTGGTACAAAATGGTACGATTTTAAACACGTTATTTTAAAATTTTTCTATCTCTGTGTCTTCTCTCCATGATTTTGAAATGTTATTTGTGTGTATTTTAATTCAAAGAAACGAATACACTTTTTTAAAGAATGGAGAGAAGACCCAGAGACCACGAAAAATGAACTTTCCCCAAAAAAATCCAAATGTGTGAATGTGGTGCTTCTCTGTCCTTTTAAAATCATCTGTACATGTGTGGCGATGAAAGCTCAGTAAGTTGGGGTACCTGTTCAGTGCACTCGAAGCAGAAAGTTTTAGGTTCGAGCCTGGCATGGGGCGTTAATTTTTTTCCTTGCAAACAACCATTTATTTTGTCAGTTACGTTTTATGTACTGATGTATTAAAATTTTGAATTAGATAAATTTTGGATCAGTTTGGTTTTCTAGCGAAATCAATTCTAATCTTCTATTCTACAGTGTACATGTACACGTATCATGCATCCGTGCATTAAATATTTTAGGTGTTTATTTTTTGTGAAACATTACTATGTTATAGTACCCCTAGGAAAAACGGACATAAATGTTACAATTTCACAATGTCTTTCAAACTAAATAAAAAAAAAACCTATGGACATGTTGATAAAATCTGACTAGATATGTTCAGCCAACCAAATCATGGACATTTGAACCATAAATGTTTCGTACAAATGATTCCTGCAGATCACTCGCCAAATACGCCCATCTTCTTACTGCTAATACCGTACTTTGTTCTTTATCAGCGAATTGTCAGTATATAATCAGTAATTATCGAAATGACTTTACAGTGAAAAAGTCTGTCACCTGTGTGCCGGTATATGCATGGTATAGACTAACATCATCATGTAACAGCCCACGTTTATAGCAGGTATACAGAGAATCAGGTAGAGCCGCTTCTGGTAAAATCCGAACTCTCCTATCCTCACCAAGATATCGTCAAACTTCATAGTTAAGCTGTCAGGTAATAAAGTCCCTAAAATCCACAAAATACGTTGCATGTTCATTGTTATTTCCAAGTGTTCATTTTAAGAAGATGCCGCACAATAATTTATTAAAGAATTATGAGTAAAGAGTTCTCGAGATAGGCATTAAAGAACAACAACAACATTAAAATATTCTGCTTACAACGGCGCGCAAATGGTTCCCACGGAAATTCAAACAGATTGTTTGTAAGACCTGATTCCCAATATTTCAAATTGAATACATGTAGATATATGAGAAACCCAACCATCTTTTTAATATACATATTAGATACGAATTACAATCATTACACTGTAGCATTATCGACCACGTTTGATGTAGGGCATGCTAATGGACAATTGTAATTAGCATTAATAATTCCGTAATCCAAAGATGAGCGCAACTTTTTTGTATCAATCCAATTCTCCAATATTAAGGCAGAAGTTGATGAATGAAATATTCTACGGGGTGAAAGATTTCTAGGAAGTTAATTGAAAGGCTAATAAAAAGGTTAAAAGATAGGGATGGGTGGGATGGGCAATAAGCGATAAATAACAAAGTGCTCCAGAAAAAACTTTAAGAACCAAGAATTAGTTTGTGAGGTGGAGAGTATGAGATTAGCAAACTTCTGAGAAAATTGTCAGATATTTTCAGAAATTGAAGCTTGGTAACATTATTAACTTTTCGAGAATACAATAGACCGTTTCACGGTAACTGCGGTACTGCTCTTTTGCAGGGCAAAATGATATAGTTTGGTGAAATATGACGTAAAAGTAATTGTTAAAGATACGTCATTTAATTATCTGTCAACAAAAACTTCGCCAAAAGTTATTATTTTGCCCTGCAAAGCAGTAGTACCGCAGTTACCGTGAAGGGGCTAATTACATACGTCTAGCATATGATGAAATACTAGTGATTAAAGAAGCGTTAGTACAATTAGTGATAATTTCTATAAGGCTATAACCCATACATGTAGTGAGTTTATAACCCATACATGTTGTGATCGAGGTTATAAGTTAACCCTTACATGTAGTGAGGTTATAACCTATACATGTAGTGAGGTTATAACCCATACATGTTGTTATCAAGGTTATAACCCATACATTTAGTGAGTTAAAACCCTTACGCGTAGTGAGATTATTACCCATACATGAAGTGAGGTTATAACCCATACATGTTGTGATCGAGGTTATAACCCATACATGTTGTGATCGAGGTTATAACCCATACATGTTGTGATCGAGGTTATAACCCATACATGTAGTGAGATTATTACCCATACATGTAGTGAGGCTATAACCCATACATGTTGTGATCGAGGTTATAACCCATACATGTTGTGGTCGAGGTTATAACCCGTACATGTAGTGAGGTTAAAACCCATACATGTAGTGAGATTATTACCCATACATGTAGTGAGGCTATAACCCATACATGTTGTGATCGAGGTTATAACCCATATATGTTGTGATCGAGGTTATAACCCATACATGTAGTGAGGTTATAACCCATACATGTAGTGAGATTATTACCAATACATGTAGTGAGGTTATAACCCATACATGTTGTGATCAAGGATATAACCCATAAATGTTGTGATCGAGCTTATCACCCATACATGTAGTGAGTTTATTACCCATACATGTAGTGATGTTAAAACCCATACATGTAGTGAGATTATAACCCATACATGTAGTGAGATTATAAACCATACATATAGTTAGGTTATATCCCATACATGTAGTGAGATTATAACCCATACGTGCAGCGAGGCTATAACCCATACATGTAGTGTAGCTGCAGAACTGTAGCTCTCTGCTTGAGAAAATTCGGACAGATAAAGCAGAGAGCTACAGATACAAGCGTTGTAAAAACCTTCGATTTACGCCAACGATTTTTTGTCGCTACTTTAGGTATTTATTTCGTATAGTTTAAGCTTTCTCTGGCTTTTAGAATGGTATCCTATAATAGTTTAATTCTGGTTGTAACGCTGTATTTGATTGGATAAAAATTTTTACTTTATTTCGTATAAAATGGGTTGCCTACGTCACAATGACTTGCGTCAAAAACGTATCAATCCGCCTGAGGTTACATTCAAATTTTGTACAAAATGAAGTCATTTTGTTAGAACAATCATTTTTTTTTTCTTACATTAAATGAATGAAAATTAAATTATAAGCAATGAATTTAATAGCTACCCATTTTATGCGGTATAAACTGGGTTGGAACAGTTTACGTTTTTTTATAAACCGCTTCGCGGTTTATAAAGCGTAAATTGCCCCAACCCCAGTTTATACCGTATAAAATGGGTAGCTATTAAATTCATTCCTTAAATAATTCAAATATTTAACTCTTATATTTTATACTTTGTTTACCTTTTAACGGTCCGAAACAGTCTTGTGTATAGTTTTGTAATGTCGGTTTAAAAGAGTTCCATTTCGACGTCCGTAACCACAAACAGCCATTTGTTAGCGTTGAGAGGTAAGTAAATGATCAGGAATTGAAGTTTAATGTATGATTAATTATTAAATACCGTTTAAAATTATGTTCAAAGCTGGGGAAAGTATAAAATACACGGGAAAATACCCATAGTGAGCGACAAAAAATCGTTGACGTAAATCGAGGGTTTTTACAACGCTTGGATCTGTAGCTCTCTGGTTTATCTGTCCGAATTTTCTCAAGCAGAGAGCTACAGTTCTGCAGTTACATGTAGTGAGGCTATAACCCATACATGTAGTAAGGCTTTAACCTATTCTAGTATAGCTAAAATTATTGGAATTTTGTCCATTTTGTCCTTTTTTAAAAAATAATGTAAAATCCGACTAGTTTGTGACGTCAAAAAACAAAAATTGTCAATAACCTACTTTGAAGCTATATGTTTTGCTAATTTGTATTTTTCATACAATTTAAACAATACAACACTTTTTAAGAATTTTTCAAAATTTGATTTTTGTGGGGGCAAAGATATGCAATATACCGAATATAGTTCTTTAAGTTAAACGATTTAATGTCTGTAAACATTCATTAAATATGTGCATCTACTTTTCTCTGCATGATATATTACTAAATAAATGCTTCTTTTAACCTAAGGCAATCTTTTATGACAAGCTTAAAACATATTTGACAATACGTTTTTCCAAGGATATTTTTTATGTTTAAAAGGCCATATCTTCTGAATTAAGAGCCAGAAAGGAAAATGTACTCGTAAAGTCACTCTCGTTTCCAAATTTCTTTCTGCGGCATTATGAAATTTTGACAAATCGACTCCAAATACTTTATACCTAAAATATAACTGTAGAATTAATTTGAATACCTACCTTAAAATAGTCATGCAATATATCTGGGTGCTTGTTGGATTCAGATTCCGCGCCTGGTGGTGGAGCTGTTCGTTCACTTTCTAATAATATCCCAGAGCAGCTACAGGTAAACACGTTGATTCTGTGTTCGATAAGGGGTTCAAAAAGGTCGTGGAATAATTTGTCACACTTCACTGTGACCTTTATCTGAAGTTTACTTACTTAATAGACATCACCGCACGCCTCTTCTGCCTAGTTTATTGCAAACATTCTCAAAATATAGTATACACGATGAATAAAATTATTTCGCACGAAACTTTTTCCGTTTCACGACACAATGAACTTTCATGAACTGTTCGCGGTGTAAATAAATATCAAATTTCTTATGAAGTTTATTTTTCATTGGAAAAGACGATAATTTAAAACTGAGAAGAGCCCGTGACTCCGGGCCTTGTCAAGTAAGAATAGGTTTTTTTCAAAAAGAAAGACTATAAAAGGTATAAAAATAATTAGTTTCCAATATTTAGAGCAAGCTCTTCGTTAGTGTACATGTAATTAGTCAATTTCAACATGCATAACTAATCGTTCATATGTTTCTGTGTTAAAGTATTATCTGTAGAGCGAGATGTAGAGTTCTAAAAAAAACGTCTAAGTCTGCTTGAAACAAAAAGTATATTGTCGCAAATGATAGCGGATCGAAGTAGGAGGAGGGGGGAGGGGGCACATGGTTTTCCAGTGATTCGTTGCCCTAAATCCATGATAAAACAAAATGTGCATACATATTGACCCTTTTATATAACAAATAATCCTGTCTGAGGATAATATTCCAAGTCAAACTTTAAACGCCCAGTCTGAATTCTTCCAATCGACAGCCGCGTCTCCGTGTATGGACACAGAAACATGTTATATCAAAATGACCATAGTTAGAAAATAAACTAACTCAAGAGGTTAAAACCCTGACAGTTCGATCATGATATTAGTGAATAATAGACGGTTTGAGAAATTAAACACTGACAAATGAATAATGGACTGTTTGAAATATCAAAAAATCTGTAACATGTAACCAGAAAAGATAATATATAAATATTCTGTTATGGGTCAGAATAACCCTAAATGCCAGCAAAGATCAATAACACAATTTAAACTTAACAATAATTTATTAACATTAATATATACAAATCATAAAGTACAAACTTAGCAAGAATCTAAAAATACATACATCAAAGTGTCCGTTGCTGCACACAATGTCCCAGTGAAAATATATATCCCAGTTATATCTCAATGGTGCTCATACGACAAAAGTATTGTATATGCATCGAATTGACAGGGTATTTATATAGTATCATAAATCTAGAATATTCTAGAAATTATTAAAACATGATATTACTGGAACAATCTGGACATACACAAAATTTAAGAATGTTCTAGATCAAATGACCAAACATGTGGACCACTCTGGAAAGTTCAAGAAACTAAATGTTACTAATAATATACAAGATGAAACAATACAAATACAACACATCACACAACACCTCCCCCCTTAAAAAGTTTGAATGTCAATGAAAACTTATATTATTAAAACATAGGTACATTAATACAAAACCTAGAATGTTTACGATACTCTTGACAAGGCGTCTGCAATAACATTGTCTTTGCCTTTGATATGCTTAATTATTAAGTTGTATTCTTGTAACAACAAACTCCATCTAGTCAGTCTTTGATTCTTGTTTGACAATTTATGCAAAAATGTCAGGGGGTTGTGATCCGTATATACAAGAATTGGATGCAAAGTAACATTCAGATAAACATCAAAATGCTGTAAGGCTAACAACAAAGCAAGGCATTCCTTTTCAATGGTGGAATACTTTTGTTGACATTTTGTAAGTTTCTTTGAAAAATAAGAAACAACTCTATCTACCTTATCACTATGTTCTTGAAACAAAGCTGCCCCGATTCCAACATCACTAGCATCAACAGTAAGCTTAAATTGCTTAGAAAAATCTGGAGTTGACAGAACTGGGTTGCTCATAAGGACAGATTTGATTTTATGAAAGGATTTTTCACAGTCCTTTGTCCATTCAAAGTTAACCCTCTTTTGTAAAAGATTTGTAAGTGGACCAACAACTGAGGAAAAATTTGGACAAAATTTTCTGTAAAACCCAGCCATGCCCAAAAACCTCATTAATTCTTTCTTGTTTGTAGGAATCGGGAACTTTGAAATAGCTTCCGCTCTAGCCATAATGGGTGTAACATAACCTTGACCTACTTTATGACCTAAATACTCTACATAAGCATGACAATATTCGCTCTTCTCAAGATTCACAGTTAAGTTTGCTTTAGCTAAAATGTCAAATAAAGCACGCATGATTCGGAGATGTTCGTCCCATGTGTTGCTGTATATGACGACATCATCAATGTAGGCCTCACATTTCTCAAGGTCTTGAAGAAGGGAGTGAATCATCCTTTGGAATGTAGCCGGTGCGTTTTTCATGCCAAAAGGCATTACTTTATACTGGTAAAGTCCATCTGGTGTAGCAAAAGCAGATATTTCTTTTGCTCTTTCCGTTAACGGTACTTGCCAGTAGCCTTTCAACAGGTCAAATTTACTGACAAATTTCGCGTTTCCAATGTTGTCAATACAGTCATCGATTCTAGGTATTGGATATGAATCGGTTTTGGTAACAGAATTCACCTTTCTAAAGTCTGTACATAATCGGTAGGAACCGTCCTGTTTTGGTACAAGAATACACGGTGAGCTCCAATTACTTTTACTAGGTTCAATAATGTCATTGTCCAACATGTACTGCACTTCCCTTCTTAGGTACTGCAATTTTATTGGATTGAGACGGCACGGATGTTGTTTGATAGGCAGAGCGTCGCCAACTATGACATCATGACAAGCTGCATTAGTTTTCTTTGGAACATCCGAAAAGATTTGATGATACTCATTCATCAAGTTTTGAACTTCTTCTTTTTGGTGAATGTTCAAATGTCCAAGTTTTGCATCACAATCAGCTAAAATTTCTGAGTTTTTTAAGTGGACACTCTGATTACAATCTTTCTCATTCATCTCTACACTCGTATCACTTTCAAAACAATTTTGAACAGTCTTAGCATTGGCTAAAGTGGAAACTGGTTTTACAGAATTTCGGTCACACCTTTCAAAATACTCTTTTAACATGTTAATGTGACAAACCCGTTTCTCTTTACGTCGACCTGGTGTCTTAACTACATAGTTTACATCACTGATCTTGCTTTCAATTTCATAAGGGCCATGAAATCTGGCCTGTAAAGGATGACCAGGAATGGGTAAAAATACAAGAACCTTATCACCTGGCTTAAACACCCTATTTCTGGCATCTTTGTCATACCACATTTTCATTTTCATCTGAGAATTCTTCAAATTTTCTTGTGCTAATTTACAAGCATTGTAAAGTTTTTCTTTGAAATCAGACACATATTCTAAAAGATTAAGATCACTAGTCTCAGTCAGCCACTTTTCCTTCAACAATTTCAAAGGACCTCTAACTGTATGTCCGAACACCAATTCAAAAGGACTAAACCCAAGAGACTCCTGGACTGCTTCTCGTGCAGCAAATAGCACAAGATGAACACCTTCGTCCCAGTCTTTTTCATATTGGTAACAATAGGTCTTCAGCATTGTTTTTAGGGTTTGATGAAAACGTTCTAGCGCTCCCTGGGACTCAGGATGATAAGCAGTTGATCTATATTGCCTTATACCCAACTCATGCATGACTTGCTGGAACAACCCCGACATAAAATTTGAGCCTTGATCCGACTGAATTGCCTTGGGTGCTCCTACAAAACTGAAAAACTTGGTTAGGGCCTTAACTATGCTCTTTGCCTTTATATTCCTTAGAGGTATGGCTTCAGGAAATCGAGTGGATGTACACATAATGGTAAGTAAATACTGGTTTCCTGACCTAGTCCTAGGCAAAGGTCCTACACAATCCACCAACACTCGACTAAACGGTTCTTCAAAAGCTGGAATGGGTTGGAGAGGAGCAGATGGTATCTTCTGATTTGGTTTACCTACCATCTGACAGACATGGCATGACTTGCAAAACTTCGAAACATCCTTTCTTAGCTTAGGCCAATAAAAATGACTCAAAATCCTATTATAAGTCTTATTGATACCTAAATGACCAGCCATAGGTGTATCGTGAGCTAAACTCATGACATCTCGACGATAAGCAGCTGGGACCACTATCTGGTGAACAACACGCCACACTTCATCTGGAGAAACATCAGGTGGTCGCCATTTTCGCATAAGGATGCCATCTTTCATATAGAAGCATTCTCCAACTTTAGTAGCCTCTTCTGGTGGAAGTGCCCTCTTACTAAATTGAATGATATCTGGGTCTTTATGTTGTTCAGAGAGTAAACGTTCTCGGCTGAGGATGTCCTTGTATTGGCTTAATGGTGTATGTAACTCAACATCCTCACCACTAAATTTTGGTAAAAGTTCATTCTTCACTGGCTTCTTGATATTGTGTGGTTCCATGTTTGTTTGAGTGCCATCAAGGTCAGATAAGAAAGTGTCATTCAAATCAATATCAACAGAGGAATTCGTCTCGTCAAAGGCTTGAGTATGGTCTGCCTCCATTTCTCGTCTTCTGGCCATCGCTCTAGTAACAGCACAGGCTGGATAAATGTCATCATCTTCATCATAACACATGACATCTAGATTGATTTTCTCACAAACTATAGGATCAGGTACAACCTTCCCACCAGCTAAATCGTTGCCTAACAACAAGGAAATGCCTGGAACGGGAAGAGTAGGTCGAACACCTACGATAACAGGTCCAGTAACTAAATCTGACTTCAAACTAATTCTATGCAGGGGAACATCAATGACGCCTAGCTCCACACCCTGTAATAAAACTGATCCACCAGTAGAAGTCTGCTCAGACAAAGGAAGCACACCCTCTAACAATAACGTCTGTGCAGCATCAGTATCTCTCAAAATCTGGACAGGTTTTATTTCGCTAGAGTCACCGAGTGAAACAAATCCCTGAGACATAAAGGGCTTATAATCCTCCATAGAATCAACAGAACTGGACTGTGAACCCTGGACATCAGGATTGTCAGAACAAATCGAAACTAAGGCTTCTCTATCACCTCTAACTGCCGCACAAGCATGTGGTTGAGTTTTATCAAAATCACTTTTTCTCTTAAGTTTAAAGCATTCACTGATCAGATGACCCTTTTTCTTACAATAACTACAAGTAGGAAGCGACCCTATTCCAGACGATCCTTCAACACGTCCTGGACCGGACTTAAAACCACCTTGGGATGGAGACTGGGA